GTGTGTGTGTGTGTGTGTGTGTGTGTCTTGCCTCTACTCTTCAAGTGCTGTGATTATAGGTGTGACCCAAGATGGTTGGCTTGAATTACATTTTTTAAAACATAGGTACTGCATTTATCTCAGCTAACTGATGAAACTGAAACATTTTTTCTGGGTCCCACGGAGGTGGATTTAACAAGTATTTTTTGTGTGTGTAGTGGGTAAAGGTCATAGGTGGAGATATGAGGTGGGTATGAAGGAGGCCAAGTCAAGGAAATGGAGCCTTTTAGTAATCTAACAAAACACCTTGCCATTAAAACTTCGACGTCACAGAAGCACATGTGCGATTTTACTTTTATATGAATGTGGCTGTTTGCTGGCATATTATAATGATGTCAATAAAGGTAACGTCTGTGTAAAACTTACTTTTCTAAAATTTGAAAACGTTCCATAAGTTGGTTCACATTTTCCCCTTAGAGCCTTTGCATTAATGAAAGAGCTGCTAAGGTGAGCGTCTCTGAGCATGCTTGCTGACTGACTTCTTTCTTCTCATTATATTTGTCTCTCCTCTATCAAGCATGCCCTTTGCTTGATGCAGCATCCACAGCAGAGTTTGCCAACACAGCTGAACAAGTGTAGTGTGGAGAAGTTTAATGTAGTTGAAATGTGTCCAGTTTGGAACAAGAGACTGCATTAGGCTCAAGAGTTACCTTGGTTTGTTTCTTTTCCTTTCTTTGTGCATGGAGTCAGGGAGTCCTGGGAATGTCTGGACTTTGAGGAGAGATATAAGAAGCTCCTCTGGATAGCAGCTATACCTGGATGATAATCCCCAGCCCTTCTTGAATTCGAGTGTGTCTTAAGGCAAGAATATTTTTTTCATCCGTCTTCCTGTTTCCTCATGTGAAACTTGCTTTATTTCTAAGTCAGTTCACATGTCAGCTGATGATTGGGGAGATTAATTATTCTTGTGAGAAGGGAACCTTGAAAATGTTAAATCCCTCTAAATTGTTGAGTAATGTGAAACTGCTAATCCAAAGCTGAAGAAAGCAATTAAGACAGACTGATGTGCTTATGGCCTATTTTTAGTGCCTGAATTAATTCATGGAATTAGAAGGAGAATAAATCAAATATTAAAACTCACAATAACTGAGTGTGCAGGATTTTCCAGTCACTATGTGCAAGTTCTTTATCATATCAGATTGAGCAGAGACATAGTCCCATATATGGGCTCAGCCACACCTTATGTCCCATCCTTCAGCTGCTGCACTTACAGCATGTAGCAGCTCCAAGCTAGGGTATGAAAATAGGAGGATATTCCTATATTTTGCATTTATAACTTTTTGGGGCCTTCACTGATCTGCTAAAATGAATTCTTTACCCATAGCTCAGTTACCTCTCCCTTTTAACATCTATAAGGTAAATAATTTACTTAGAGATTGCTCTTGAATCTCCTATTCCAACACACACACACACACACACACACACACAGAGAGAGAGAGAGAGAGAGAGAGAGAGAGAGATGGTGAGACAGAGAGACAGACAGAGAAAGTAGTCAGCATTCCTAAGGGTATTTTATGTAAAATCATTTTAGCATCTCTCTACCAAAACATGAATGATGTTCATGATTCTAAAATGCTATCTCATGTCAACCTATGAGAAACATATTGCTGCTATCTTCAGTTAACAAATGAAGTAACCGACTGATCCAGAGATATTGACTGAAATGATGACAGGAGAAACTGGATCCAGAGCTTTCCCATTCTGAAACTATGTATTTTATAATGCAGCCATTCCCTTCAACTTAGAATAACAGTGGGATTTCATGACAAGACAAACTCAGTTTCTTGTCTATTGCTGTAATGAAACATCCTGGTATAAACAATCTAAACGAGAAAGGATGATTCCATGTTGCTAATCATCATTATGACAAGAACTTGAAGCAGCGAGTAATACGCATCCAGACTCAAGAGAAGAGAGCGATGAACTAATGCATGCACGCTGTTGCTGAGCTTTCCTTCTCCACTACTCAGGGAATGGTTCCACACACATGCAGGATGTATTTTCCCACATCAATTAACATAATAAAAGAGCTAAGGCTGCTTGCTAGACATGGAGTTACCAGTTAACATTAATCATCACTAAGAACATTTGGAAAGTCTGAAGAAAAGTGAAAAGAGGAAATCTTGGGGAACATTGCCACCTAACAGCCTTGAGTCACTGGCCAAAGTTTCATAGCCACACCCACAAAACGGCATGCAGAAACAGTTAAAAATCAAGAAAATGGGCGGTTTCCTGGAAGCATCCAAACTGCTTTAGATTCTATTAGCACTCAATGACAGTAACATTTCCAATCACATTTCTACTCACAGAAGGAACGCACATGTGAAAATCAGCACTATTTTACAGGTACTGTAAAACCTATTGATTCCATTAACTGATATAATAACAAGGAGTAATGAGGGCACACACAGCCTCTTACATAGATAATGTTCTGACTCAGTTGTGAGGTTTCAATATCAGCTGCTATTTCCATCCCAAACCATTTTGAATGAGCTAATACTTTATTTGTGTGTGTTTCAAGAGAAATTATAAAGTAGTGTGAAGTAATGGCTCCATTATGCACATTAAGGGTTGAGATTCAGCATAGTCAATCAGTAGAAAGTGTCTGTAGGCATTTCAAACAGCCCTCCTAATTTTATTTATCTACTTTCCGTACAAGCTGGTAAGAACTGAAATCTCTAATAAGCCAGAGAATAGACAACAACAACAACAAAAATCATGTGCATTCATATTTGTTTCAGTGTAATTTACAGAAGTAATAGAAGTTGTGTAGTAAAGTTAGCAGGAACACTGGAAATTTTCCCAAATTGGCATATTTAACTAACAGTAACTTCCATAAATCTAAGACCCTAGAGCCATTGGTAGAATGGGTGTAAAATCAGGGTTAAGGATTGAGTTTGAATTCCAGGTCTGCCACTAACATGTATGACCTTGAACACGCCTCCATAATCCTATGTTGAAAAAGTGTAAACTATAGTAGCTATCTCATTACTGCCTGTGGCCTTTAAGAAAATCTAGAAAGTTAGCATAGCCATCATATATACACTGTGTTCTCATTGCATTTTTGAAATTATGATTCTGTGGATTTTGTGGGTCATTCCATTCAGAATTGAAAATGTCTGTAATTTTAGCTTATCATTAGATTCTACATGTATTAAAAAGGTTAAAAAGACAATAAACCATGTTCCACAGACATTAAAAAATTGTGCCTTTTACTTACAAACTCTTATATTCCCTTAAGTTTCAGCTGGTAAGCCAAAACTTCTGGTGCTAAATGATTTAATCATCAGCCCCTTCAGGAATGTTTGTGAAGTATCTCTGTGGGCACGATGAAAACGCTGGGTGCTGTTATGCCACTGAAGGCTCAGGAATGCATGACCAGCATTTTTCAAGGTTTACAACAAGGTTATAATCTTCTTAATTTCAAGATCACTTTAAAAAAGATTAAGTAAGAGGCCTCTTCCTGAAGAGGTATAGTTTTAATGAACTATGCTCAGGTCTGTTTTGCTCTTTCTGCCTATTCCCCCTAGTCTGAGTACTGACACTCTAGTTGGCTTCTTTTAAATGCCCATAACAACCTAGTACCCTCACCTGGTACCCAACCTAGTTCCCTCACCTTCTTGTCCCATTCCACCTACAGACATATTAGCAATTTTCTAACACCAGTGTGACCTTACCATTTCTTTATGAATCTCTGACTTAGCTCACTGATAAAATACTGAAATCCTTTCATCTACCACATAGCCTATCCCAAGCCCTAGTCAGTGTCACCATGCTTACCTTGCCCAGTATGCTCTTGGCTTGCATCTTCAGCAGACCAGAACTTGGGTATTCAAAGGGTCTAACAATATTTCCACCCCTCTGGACCTGATTTATTCATACTACAGAGTTGGAAAACAACTTTTTCAAAAGTCATTTCCCAATAATACTATCTCAGACATTCTAAACCTTAGCCATCATCACAATGGGAATGTTGCAGTTATTGATGATGGTTTGATTAATATACCACGCTGTGCCTATCATTATATCTCTAGTGTATTGAACAAGCTTATCACTTTCAAATACCAACAACTATGTGTGTGTGTTTGTATACATACATACTGAATAAAATAATGAGTTCAATGGCTTAATTTTAGCAGCTTGTGGTGGTATGAATCCTTAATTCCATCACAGCACTTTTGGGACAAAGGCAGTAAAATATTGGTAAATTCAAGAACAACCTTGTCTCCTCCCATGACCCTTCCCCAGTCCCCTGATAGGGGAGGACCTCTTCCCCTTCCATCTTACCCTATCTTATCAGGTCTCGTCAGGACTGATTTTCATAGTCTTCCTCTGTGGCCTGGTAAGGCTGCCCCTTCTCAGGGGAAGGTTATCAAAGAACCAGCCACAGAGTTAATGTCAGAGACAGTCCCTGTTCCCCTTGCTAGGAAGCCCATTTGGAGCTGCCACAGGCTACATCTGTGCAGGAGTTCTAGGTTATCTCCATGAATGATCCTTGGTTGGAGTATGAGTCTCAGAGACGAAAAGGAGGATGGGATTAAGAGGCAGCTACAGCTGGGATACAAAGTGAAAAAAACTTTAATAAACAAAAAAATTATATTATGAAAATCATGGTCCCAGGTGGCAGGGCTGTCCACTCATAGCAGCCTACTCCTCTTCACCCTTGAGTCTCCAGTTCCATCTCTCTTCATAACACTCAAGACACTTCTTTCCTTCCCATCTGACCACTATCTACTCACACATTGTAGTGGTTCCTGCTCCAGGCTGGCCATGCACTGTCAGGCCCCTGGGTAACATCCTCCATCAGTGCTGTGTGGTGTGGCAGCAAGTGTGTTTATATGGCCCACCTGTGCCATGTGCTGGAGGGCAGGTCTATGAGTGGCATGGTGGAACATTGATCTCTGTCTGTCTTCTTCCTCCCATGTTATGCTACCTGGATTTGATTTGATTTGATTTGATTTTTATAAGTCCTAGGTATAAGACAGCTTTGGCCACCAAGCCAGACATTAAACTAGGATGAACAATGGATTTCCATCTGCTCTGCCCTTGACCAATATAAGAACAGCACCAACAATGTGTCTCTTTGCCCATTGTCAAAGGGGTAAACATGTAATTCTTATAAAGACGCACAGACACGCACATACAAAACCACACATGCACGGTATTATGAAGTTGTGCTTAATTTCAAATGAGTCACAATCCAAAATTCTCTGGAAACCACATAAAACCTAACTTCATTTTTGGTCAAATTAACTTTAAGATTATATCTTATATTCAAAATGAAATGATTGATGCTTTATTCTAAGTGTGCAAAATTCTTCAAATGCCTCAGAAACTCATATAGCAAGGGTCAATGGCATACTTTCACAATTACATTTTTTTCTCTATTCATATAAAGCTACTGCTGGCATAAAAACACTGGAACCAACAACGGAGACCATGGTTTTGTTTCTAATTATAGTTTTCTAAAGGTTTTGTGTGGTCTTCATTATCTCATTTATTTCCAGGTTTTACTACTTAATATTGTCTAAAATCCCAGACTATCAAGGAAACCATAAGATTGGAAGTGCCTTCTCTCATGTTGCTTATATATATGTGTTATTTATTTCTTCACACTGTAGATGCCACATCAGTAAGATGGAGATAAAATGACTACTTAATCTTTAACTGGACAATTAATTTTTTTTTTAAAAAAAGAAAAAAACTGTGAACAACAATGGCTCTTTTATTCTGATAAGTACGTATATGGATACAAAGATGCCAATCAAGATCACACTAGAGAGCTGATAGACAGAAGGACCTTTAAAAAGCACAGGAAGGAGGACATGTGATTTGTGTCATTTTCAGGCTGAGGTTCCCTAACATGTGGTTTGTCTAAAGAAAATAACGGTGACACCAAAACTGTAACCTAAGCTCTTCCACATACATCACAGGTTTTCTCTGAGGTCCCATCATGCTGTGGAAAGCTGAGTCACAACCCTATTTCTCCGAAAAAAAAAAAAAATGAAACCAACAACTAACTTCCTCCAGGTAGTTAAGTGAGGTGCCCCTTTGAGTGTAAAATATATGATAGAAAAAAAAGATTCTTTCTTTTAAAAAAACAAGGAAGGGAGAACTTAAAATGAACTTAAACATTCTTGTTCAATGCATTCTTTCAAAGCCTGGAGTGAGAATTTGAGAGTTTGCATTTATAAAGAAGGTGAATTTGAGAACAGCATATTTTATATCAACCTTCCAAAAATTTCTCTCTTAGTGCTAAATTCAATGTTAACATTGACAAATCCGGTGTGTTGGTTCTATTTGCAATACACACACACATACATGCCCACTAAAACAAACAAACAAACAAAAAAACCCCACATATATCTTGTTGTAGAAATGCATTGTATACAATTCAAAATAATGAATGAATAAAGCCTCTGTTGGAATAAAATTAAACCACTGACATTTGGCACAGGCAGCTAGCTAATTTTTAGTCTTAGGTGTCACTCAAAATTAAATTCTTTGGCTTAGGTCTCTTTGCAAATAAAGATATAACTCTCTAAGTATAATGACTTCATTCCATTTAATTGATACTTACACAAATAAATCATTTCATTATTGCCAAGTAAAAGAGCAATAGCATTACTTGGGAGTCTACAATATGAAATTTAAGCTCATTTTTCAGAGATGAAACTCTGGTTCCTTCACTTGTTGACTGATGGCTTGAATGAGTAGTACAGACTTTTCCTATGTCAGTTTTCTTATATGCAAAATGGATGTCGTTGATCTAGAACTGTAGGTTTAAATACAAAGCATGTATATTATTAATGAACTTTGGTTATTATTTTATCATAAAGTTTGGGTCCTTAAATATTTATTAAAAACTCAACATAGCCAGTGTTCATTTAATGATTATATTACTGTTCATGAGCTATGTACCTACCACCCCTTATGTAAGACAGGACATAAGCTAGTTGGATGACGATTTCTAATTTCACATTGACTGACATGGGACTATACACTCATCAGATTTGATTTCTCTCAATTGGTTGTTCTAGCACATTCAAAACGTACAGGGTTGTTCAGGGTAACCATAAGACCGACCCAGGGATACTGCTTTTGTAAATGATTCCTTGCCTACGCATCTGAAATGTAGCGCCTGGAATTATTCATAATCTCAGTGTTTAGTATTCCTCTAGTGAAGTCATGGCTATGGATATGATAGAGAAGGCACATAAGCAAGACATGTAACCTACAGATTTTATGTGTTGAGAGTCTAACCTATGCATGCTGAGGAAAACACTTTATTGGTACAATTGCTCTCTTTGCCCCCCCCCACTCACAAGCGCGCGCACACACACACACACACACACACACACACACACACACTTTCCTCTTTTGAATCTGTGGAGCTCTACTCCTAACATCTTTATAGAACTGCCAACTAAGATCATAGTGTGACAGGACTATGGGAGAGGAAGTGGGACCTGACTTCTTGTGTCCTCTGCCTATTCCCAACCAGAACAGAAGCATCCTTTTGCACCCTTTTCCCCCTGGAGAAATGGAAAGCAGGCTAGGCACAGGAACCAGATCCTGATTTTTTTTTTTTTCTGATGCAATGGCTTCAGTATGCCTGCTGAACATTTGAAGTTGGGGTCGATTTAAAATGGAGAGTTATGCAAGTTATTTTTCTTCCTCAGCAACAGCAATACAAGAGCTTTGCTGTTTCTGTTATTGTTGGGGGGAGGTGGCAGTTACATTTGATTAATGCAGGGGAGTGGATAATAAAGCTTTGGGCATTTAAGCTCCTTCCCTAAAAACAACAAAAATTGATTCAGCCCATCATTATCACTAAAGTGCTAAGTTTTGAGATAATAAATTATTTCATTCTCAACAGCATTCAACTTCTAATCGAGTCTGAAGTGGATGAGACTGTCAGATTCAAAGATTTGGATAAAAGATGCTTCACACCGCTGTGATGAGGATAGTGAAAAGCACTTAAAATAAATGATCTGCCTAAGGGACTCGCATTTATGATTGATTATTGATCTCTAGAAGGACGTTATACTGGGAGAAAAGTTTCTATATTAAACCTTATGTTCTGGAATACAGCCTAAAGCATCTTTCCAAAAACTCAAACACTGCAGCACTGTTTTCCAGACACACTTCTAAGAGAGTCAGGGTGAGTGTTTTAAAGCCCCATGTGTCTGTACTGTTTCTTTGATGAGTCCTTCTCAGTTAGGTCTTGTTTTCTTGTTTTTCCATTCCTGGGTATACTGAAGTCCTGATATTCAGGCCTGGTCTGTTGTTTGTTTGTTTGTTTGTTTGTTTGTTTGTTTGTTTGTTTTTACACTCTTAGAACATGAACTCTTTCTGTGACTTTTCTCACTGTTTTCCTCTTAATCACTCCCAGAGGAAATGGTGAATGAGTAGACTCATCTTATCCCATGATTTACCATGAAGATATTAGTAGATTTTACTTTTTATTTCATAATTTTTCATCATGCATGCATATGAAAACTTTTCTTGGTAATTGCAAAAGTCGTGTATCATGAAATGTATTTCCAAGCAGTCGCTAACTATAATCTGTGATTAGATTTGTTCCGTTATCTTAGGCAACATAATCAGAATGCAATGCCTTAAACATTTTCCTCTAAAGTAGGCCTATGTTCTAAGCATGAGGAAATGTCACAAAGTCAAGGTTTCTTTCAGCAGTTCTCACAGGTACCTGGGGCACAACATGCTTTTGCAGTTTTAAGGTTTTGTCCACTACTTCTTCTTGGTACTGTGAAGCCTATCATTTTATGTGACAGTCCCAGGACTTTTCAAGATCTTTGGTAGTCATGGACTTTTCCAATAATCACAAGTCTGTGTCTTTCCTACTCAAGGAACTATATTATACATATTTTTTTTTTTGGCATGCAAACTCCCTGTTCATTCAAAGGCTTGTTAGTGTCCTTTCCTCCAATGCGTTCTGTAAATTGTTGCTAGATTAATCATTGTAGAATACTTTCATTATCAAGCAGTTTTACTATATCCTCCCCATGCCACTCCCAATTTATAACATCCAACTATGGCGAGAATGAAATGGAAGAGTGGAATGGTGTTTCCTTGTGTTATCAATGTTTTTATGGCTTAGATACTTTATGCATATTACAATGTTTAAGTCTCATGAGAAACCCAAGTAATGTCATCACCTTCTTGCTGTAAAGAAGAAATAGAAAATCAGACATACTTAAGCAAACTACAATTCACGGTGAAGTCACTTTTACTTTAAGACTTCAGGACTTCCTCTCACTTGAAGGTGCCTGCATTGTCCCAATTTGTCTAAACCTACAAAATTTTCCATCAGTGCATAAAGGAATTGTCCCCCAAACAATATGCTTCTTTTCTTATGGTCTTTGAGCTGTGTTAATCTTATCATCCTTTAAAAACCCACACACGTTTTAGCACATGCTGCCTCTTTATGTCTTTGTTAGGGCTTCTACTGTTGCAATGACACATCATGGCCAAAGAACAAGCTGGGAAAGAAAAGTTTTGTTTGCCTTACATTTCTGTATTGCCGCTGATCAATATCTAAGGAAAATCAGGACAGGAACTCAAAAAGAGCAAGAACCTGGAGTGGAAGCTGATGCGGAAGCCCTGGAAGGATGCTGCTTCATGGCCTGATCTCTGGCTTGCTCAGCTTGTTTTCTGAGCCTGTTTTCTTGTAGACCCTAGGACTATATACCAGTGTAGGGATGGAACCACACCCAATGGGATGAGTCCTCTCCCATCAATCACTATTTAAGAAAATGCCTTAGAGTCAGAGCTTATGAAAGCAGTATCTCAGTTAAGGTTCCCTCTACCTAGATGACTCTAGTTTGGTTTCAGGTTGACATGAGACACTTTACACAAAGAGAAATCCATTCCAAACTGACTGCTCACTGTCTTTTGTGACCGACTTTAGCCTGTACTTTGCTCTTCCAGGACTTCTGTGTACATCCAATTGGTACCTGTAATCATATATTGTATTAACATCTTCTTTTAATATTTTCTATTAATTAATAATGTTGTATAGCTTACCCAGTGTGTGCTTTTCCATTCCAATAAACCATAGGCAGTTGAGGGAACCATATAA